CAATGAATGAATGGAAATCCAAGTTTTCTGTAAACTTTTGTTAAAAGCACAATAAAAAATTATTTAAGCAAAAGAGACATCAGTGTTGGAAGTCCTGTGGGTGAATCACAGTGGGCTCAGTGAGAGTGAGTTTTGTTGCGTGGTTTTGAATCTTTATGGAAGTAGATCTCTTTCTCTTATACAGCAGTTGGTAGGTTTGAACACCCACACTTCTGGCTACCAGTTGCATGTTTTAACCACTGCTCCACCTGGATGGTGAGTGGCCTGTGAAGCAGCCTGATTGAATCCTGACCCATCAATGCTGCTCTCTCCTCTTTGAAGGGTGAAAAGTGTAAGGCTCTGGTGATTCAAACAAGCTGTGTGGCCATGAACAAGTGTCTGCTTCTCTGAGCTTCAGTGTTTACATCTGTGAAATGGGCTTTGGGGTGAACAAGCCTGCCTCTAAGTGCACATGGCCCCATGCCAGTGTGGGGGGTGGTTCTCAGATGCTGGGATCCCAGCATCACCCACTCTGTCCCTGGCATGACAACTGAAGGCTGTCACATCCCGTGCTGTACAGCCAAGAAATACTTGCTGAATGAGTACGGTAGGGTGTGAGGAGACATGAAGATACTTTCTTGGCAGGGTGCAACCTTTCCGATTGATGCTCTGGCCCTTCTTTCTGGCCTTGGGACAGTCCCCTCCCTTCTCTCACAGCCGAGCAGCCTGGACATGGTGGGAGCAGGCACCGTTGGTGATGGGACATGAGAGAGGAACAGAGCCTGGCCTCGCTGCTTTCCAGAACTCCCCGCCGGCCCCTGGCGGCTTTCTCCAGCGCCTTGATCTCGTCATGTAAATCTTGGAAAGACAAGAGCCATCATCAGATTTCACATCCCTGGAGCAGCCGGGCCATAAATTGTTCCCCGGCAGCAGGCTTGGTATCCGTTCACTCCAGGGAGTTCTGGCGTGTGCCGAAATCTGGATGAGCTATATCCCTTTTGAAGAAGATGCCTGAGTTTGAAGATGTTGAGGTTGATGGTGGGCTGTTGTGGGTTTCCCATTGCAGGGGAGGGTCCATGCCACTGGATCAGGAACCCTTGCATGGTGCGTATGACTATACACTGAAAAGGTGGGGGTTTAAACCCAGAGGTGCCTGGAAAAAAAGAGACCTTTTGGAGACCTGCTTCCCAAAGGTCCCAGGCAGGTGTACCTGTAAGCAGTTCTCTGCACACACGGGCCCGTCATGACCTGAAATGGGCTCCATGACAACTAACAACAACAGCATCTGGGTGCATTGTGTACCCGATTGTTCTGTGGGTTCCCTGAGTACTTTAAAGGGTCCGAGACTCTGCTTACCTTCCCTAGATCCCCCGATGCCCTGGAGACCAGACCCAGAGAAAGCAGAGGGGTTGCTGCTGGGCCGCCCGCTTTCACTGAAGAGCCTCTTTGCTCACGAGACAGACACTGGTCCCATGCATGTTGGTGGCATCTTTGGAACACAGAGGAGAGTGCAGGATCTGGAAGGCTGTGTGTTTTGTTTTTTTTATTTTTTCTGAAAACTGTTGAGCTTTTCTATCTTTTAACTAAAATGCTTTCATTTCTAAAAGCTTGACTAAGATATAAATCATATTGTATTCAAATGGTATAATTCAGTTTTTAGTATAGTTATAGGTAGGGGCACCCTTTATTTTAGAGTATTTTAATTTTTAAAAAAGGTCCGTAGGCTTCTGCCATCAAGCTCCTGTTACTGGTTCCTCCCACTGCAGTCACGGAGATGCGTTCTGTGCCTGTTTCACCATCCTTGATATTTCACATGAATGGAACCAAATCATGTGTGTTTGCGTTCTGTGCCTGTTTCACCATCCTGGATATTTCACATAAATGGAACCAAATCATGTGTGTTTGCGTTCTGTGCCTGTTTCACCATCCTGGATATTTCACATGAATGGAACCAAATCGTGTGTTTTGCTCATCATTGTTTGATTTAGCACAATGTTTCGAGACTCATTCATGTTGTAAGATTGTATCAGTCCCTTCCATCTTCTTAGGACTCAGTGTTCTACAGTATGTGCATACCGCCTTTAGAGAAGACTGAAGAAAACTTGATGTCTTTGAAGTAGGATATTAGTGAAGATTATTCCCCGTCACTCTCTCATTGCTTGCTGTCTAGTGTGGTCTGACTCACGGCTGACACTCCAGTGGACTTCCAGGGCTATAAATCGCCTGAGGGCAGGGGGGGGGGGCCTCCCTATCTTTCTCCCATGCGCATCTGGTGGATTTTCAATATCATCTTGGCCTTTAGGCTAGCAGTACAACTGACTAGGGACTATCCTACCAGTGCTTCCTTGAACAAGATTAGCTATGCTAAATTATTATTTGGATTGTGAATTATTATTTGAAAGGCTTCAGGGGGTTGTTTTGGTATAAATTTTAAAGATTATCTCAGGGGAAAAGTTTTGGGGATTCATTCAACTTCCACAGTTCCAGAAAGTTGAGATTCTGTGAGAATATGAAATTGTTTTGTTTGTTCCTCCTTTTGGTCACGGTTCTTCGGTGGTGGTTGTTGTTGTTAAGTGCTTTCGAGTCATAAGCAACTCATAGCGACCCTATGAATGGATTCTTCGTTAGTATTTATGAAACTGTTTACTGTTGGTGGTAGGTTCCTTTCAGTTCTTCTGGTCTGTGACAAATGAGGCAGTTGTTCAGTTTGTGCATGTTATCAGGAAGACCCAAGCCCTTAAGAAGGACATTACGCAACTACTAATGCTGGTGAGGTTGTGGAGAAACTGGAACCCTTATTCACTGGAGTGTATTGGCGGGAGTGTAAAATGGTGCAACCACTGTGGAAGGCAGTATGGCACTTTGTCAAAAAGTTGAAAATAGAAATACCATTTGACCCAGCAATTCTACTACTGGGAATATAACCTAAAGAAAACAGAACTGCCACTCAAGCAGATATATGCACATCCATGTTTATTGTTGCATTGTTCATAATAGCAAAGAACTGGAAACAACCCAGTGCCCATCAACAAACAAATGAATAGAGAAGCTGTGGTATATTCACACAATGGAATATTATGCAGCACTGAAAAACAAAGAACTCATGTAATGTTATATAAAATGGGTGACCCTGGAGGACATTGTGCTGATGAAATATCTCAGTCACAAAAGGATAAATACTGCATAATGCCATTGTTATAAAACAGGACTGACATGGGGGTTGGGGGAAATTAAGAAGAGAGTGCTAAATAATGTACATGGCATTGAAACAGATGAGGGAGAGAACTGTATAAAAGGAATATATGATTAGGTATTATTGGTATGACAAGAGTCCAGAATAAGAGCTGCTTAGTAAAGTGGTCTGGGGAGGCGGGTACTGTATAACTGTGAAAGAACTTATTGAAAAATAAAAACAAAAATAAAACACCCCAAACTAACTGGGTATGGGAGGGGAGCAGGGAGGAAAATGCAACAATGAATGAATGGAAATCCAAGTTCTTTATAAATTTTCATTAAAATCTCAATTAAAAAATATATTTGAAAAAAGAATATAGAGAAGGTAAAAAAGCAAAGAGGGACATTATGCTTGGTGTAGGGGATCAGTGGAGCAGAGGAAGACCCTCAGTGGGATGGACATTCTCTGTAGATAGCAGTGGACATGCCTCCTCTCCCTCCCTCTGGTTCAGCCCAGCCCTCCCATGATCTGGTCAGCAGGGACAGGAGCTTTGGTAGGAGGAGGATGGAATAGTTTCTAGAGAGCCTTGCCCCCTGGCAGTCTTTGCATGGGACCTGGGATTCCAGCAGCTGTGGGTCAGAGGCTACTTCCCCAGAAGCCTTCCCACGGCAGAGCCTCTCCTGTGACAGCCAGGGTCCCCTGAGCCCAGGAACTTGTCTCTCTACCCAGTAGGGATCGCTGATTGGCTAGCTCCCACCCACTCTCCCAACCTACCTTCACCCTTGTTTTATTTTGAATGCTTCCTTAAGCTTCATAAAGGGCACCTCTAGGCAGGGTCTTGGGGCTGTGGGCATCTTCCCTCTGTGACCTAGAACAGCCACATCCTGCCCAGGGTCTGACAGGGCTCTGAGACTATCACCTCATCACGCTGAGTCAGGCAGGCCCAAACTGCTCCTCTCTACCAAACTGGTTCTGTTATCTCCTCCATCCCTCAGCGTCCTTTCTCACAGGAAGTGGAGCTAGGCTGTATCTTTCAGGAGATGAGTGAACTGAGAGGTACCCAAGGCTCTCCACCCCAGCAGTGTCCTGGCCAGTCCGCGGTGGCTCCCAGTTTGGTCCCCTCATGGGTTCAGGGGACATGTGACTCAGGGACACAGACTTGCTCCCAGACCCCTTCTCCTGGGCTATGTCCCTCTGGGGTGTCCTCTCTTTCGCTGACCCTCCACCTTTCCAAGCATGATGTCCCTCTCCAAAGACTAGACAGCAGAAATGGTCCACAGGATTCCAGGACTGCTCACCTCAGTGCAGATACTGAGTTCAGCTGCCACTTACTTTACTGTGGGGAGTGGTTGTCTGGAAAGGGAACCCCATTCAGTAAATGAGCCAACTGGGGCCACACAGCTCACCTGGTGTGTCTTTCAGAGCCACACAGCTAGATCCAGATCCAGGGGTCTGAGTCCAGCCAAGGCCTCTGCGGTGGCCATGGTCAGCATCCCGCTGTCCCTGTGGGTTGGAAGCAGGGCTGTTGGTCATGTTGTCCTTGGTGACCCTTGACCCTGAGCTGGAGCGCACCCCTATGAGATGGCCCATGGGAGTCCCCCTCTGCAGGGGCGTGGTGCAGGGCCCTGGCGGGAGTCCCCAGTAGCCTGTCCCTGGCCGGTGTCCCCCCTCATGGGTCATGTTGTCCCTGGTGACCCTTGGCCCTGAGCTGGAGAGCACCCCTATGAGATGGCCCGTGGGAGTCCCCCTCTGGAGGGGCGTGGTGCAGTGTCCCTGGCGGGAGTCCCTGGTAGCCCGTTCCTGGCAGGTGTCCCGCGTCTGACGTCTGTGCGTTCCCCCCTCACAGTGGAACACGACAAGGAGTTCTTCCACCCACGCTACCACCACCGGGAGTTCCGCTTTGACCTTTCCAAGATCCCAGAAGGAGAAGCCGTGACGGCGGCTGAATTCCGGATCTACAAGGACTACATCCGGGAGCGCTTCGACAACGAGACCTTCCGCATCAGCGTCTACCAGGTGCTCCAGGAGCACCTGAGCAGGTGGGTGCTGGCGGGCGCCCGGGTGGGCTGTGGGCACTCTGGAGGGCTGCGCGCCCCTTCTGCTCCGGGGAGCGGACCGTGGGCACAGGACCCAGGATCTTCTCGGAGGGGTCTCCCTCTCTCACTACCTGTTGTGGGTGTTTGTGAGCTTCTGGGTCAGGTTAGGGTCCCAGGGCACAGAAAGAAAAGAACTCATTTGCAGGCCCCGTCTGTCCTGTCCATTATGTGGCGGAGACGTGGCACGTTGCACCAGGCGGCCATCAGACTGGCCGTTCTTTGTTAATTGTTATGGAAATAAATCCAATCCCAGCCTCTGACATTGGGAGATGGCTGCACGTGAGGTGCTCCAGACAGGAATCCAGTGGGGTCCCCTGCGTGGCAGGTGAGAACCTGAACCCCACTGTGGGCTGGAGGACACACCTGCTGGCCCTTGGGTGGACTTTGCCTAGCTGTGCACCTCAGTTCACTCTCCCACCAGTCTCCTGGGGAAGCCTGTCCCCCTCACATTAGCAGACCTTTCCTGTCTTTGACTTGATGAGTGACAAGTATCTGTGACAAGGGGCATCTCAGCATGACTTCTATGTGTATTCAAAGCTCCTGAAGAGTGGACAGCAGTCCTCAAGGAAGCGGTGGACTTGAGAAGGGCCCAGGGCTGTATTGGGGATTGGGAGGGCAGACAAAGGTGGCCATCCCGTCTGAATCTGTCCTAGGTGTCAGCTCACCCTGTAGACGGCGCCTGACCTCTGAGGTTATTTTGTGTCTGCCCGAGCCCAGGTGTGAGGTGAGCCATCAATTTACCTTTGGAGCCACAGTATTGGCCTTGGCTTTGACAAACACCTTGGGCCCTGTGAACAAGACCCCAGGTGCTTTTTTTCTCACAAAGGCTGACTGGGGATTTACCGTGGAGTGCTGCATTAACAGACCCCAGTGCCCTACTCACCCCAGACTCTCGACAGTCTTCTCAGTCCTGCCCAGGTCACCATTGAGGGGCTCAGCCCAAGTGCAGCTGCTCAGCAGGTGGGACAGTTGGCTGGGGTTACCCTCATAACCCCACTATGGTGACCACTGGACACCCAGGAGCTGTACCAGGACACCTGTGCCAGGAGGTCATGCAGTGTCCTCAGACCTCTTCAAAAGGAGGAGAAAGATATGGGGGAGGTGTCAGAAATGGGGGGGACCCTGCCTAGGAATGAGCACTGGTGGCAACCCAGCGGACGGGCCAGGCTGGTGTCCCCCTGAGGCCCTTAGGCATCTGGCTCTGACTTATAGCGTCCCCATACCCCATATGCCACTGAGTAGAACACTGGACTTTCTTGATGGGTCTTTGTTTAGAATGACCTTTGGTTGTGTTTTGGGGGGAGGCTTACACAGCACTTCAGGTTCCATTCAGGTTGGCTCCAATCTTTGCACCAGCAGCCACTAGGCCCGCTCTTACCATGGAGCTGCCCGGTGGGTTTGAACCATCAATCTTTTGGCCAGTGGTCAAGCACAAATTGCACCACCAGGGTGTGCGGGCTGCTGTGTCTGCGTATTGGTGTGGGAGCCTGGTGTCTCCTTCTCTGCCCACTGTCGGCCTGTTCTCTGATGGGATGGGGCTGCCCAGCCGCCGGAGTGGGCACTGAACCCAGGATTTGTGAGGAGTCAGGGGAGACCCTTAGGAGAGAGAGGCAGGGAAATGCATGACATGCCGAGCCTTCTGACTGGTCGAGAAGGTGACAGAGTGTCAGAGCAGCACTTCGGATTGGCTGCTCGTCAATGATCTAGTTGAGTCCCCCACATCCGAGTGAGGAAAGGAGCAGTGAAGTGGGGGGAGTGTCTCGGGGACCTTGGAAGGCAGAAGTCTTGGGCTGAAGGCAGAGGCAGGTGAGTCCCGGTTTGCTGAGGGATTTCTGCTTGTTTGGTGGGAGGGAATTTCGTGCTCTTGATGAGGTTCAGCTCTCACCTCCCTACTGTGCCAGTTGGCTGGCCCCAGGGTGCCCCTCACAACTTGAGGTCCATTCCAGGTGGACAGGACAGGCCCGGAGGGGCCCGAGTCATGTGCTTGGCAGAAGAGTGAGTGGTGCAGGTGCCTTTGGCTCTCTGGATAACAACTGGGGTTGGTCTCCCCCAAACCAGAGTCAGAGCCAGTTTCAGCTCCTGGCAACCAGGTTCCAGGAGCCCCACCAAGGTCTAGGCCCCGTCACTCCCAGATGGGGATCTTGCACCAGGGGCCCTTTCCCCCCGTGCCGCCCACCTCACTCTGCTGGCTGTCTGGGGCCCACTTCAGACAAAGCTGGAGGCCGCATGGAAGGCTGCCAGCAGGCGCGTTGCTGGAATTTCATCTGGATTCCAGGAGATCAAGAGAACTCAACAGAAAGCGACTCCTACGAGGGGAGAGAAGCTGGGGCTGACCCAGGACGTTAATCCCCGCACCCCCGGGGCTTCCCTGGAGCCCAAGGGCCAGATGTTCTCTCTCTACACAGCTGGGCGACTGGTCCTGCTCCGGCTGCCCGGGAGCTGGGCTGCAGAGCTGCAGGGGACGGTGGGGGCGGTGGGAGGCTTTCTGCTTGAAGGAGGTGCCTGGGTCCCGAACAGGTGAGACCTGGAAACTGGCGAGCTCTAAAGAGAGGCCAGCCTGGGCCTTGCCTCCTGCCGCCACCAGAAAAGCCCAGCCAAACAGAAAGGAGGCAGGAGGACAGGCCGCTGCTGCAGCCCAAGCCAGGCCTGCTTGCCCAGCACCCGGGATGCTTCTCCTCCACTCCCCACCCTGACGGTGACAATGGTGTTAACCACAAAACCAAACGTGACTCCCCATGACCTTGTAGCTGCATCAAGCCGCTCCGTTAGTATATCCAAGGCCATCTTCCCAGGGTGCTCTGATGGCCAGATCTGTAGGTGATTTGCTATTAATTCACAGGCTGAGTGAACTTGGCTCGTGGTTCAAAGCCACCAGCAGCTCCAAGAGGAAGGCAGGCAATCTCCTCTCATGTAGTTCACAGCCTGGCAAACTGGAGGGTCAGTTAGGAGCTGGTTCTGAATTGATGGCCTAAGAGAGAAGGAATTTTTACAGAAGCAGACTGTCACGTCTTTTACCTGGAGTGACTAGTGCATGGATTCAAACCACTGACCTTCCCATTCTCAGCTGAGTACCTAACCACTGCTCACAGCCCAGACTCCCTGCTGTCGCGGAAGCCCCATAGTTGCCTCACTGTTACCGAGGCTGAAATCTCTATGGATGCAGACGGCCTCATCTTTTTTCCATGCAGCAGCTTGTGGGTTTGAACCATTGACCTTTTCGTTAGAGCTGAGTGCTTTAACTACCATGCCACTCGGGCTCCTTGGTGCTGCTGCCGCTGTTGTTATGCTCCAAGAAAGCCTCAGAGATCGCCCTTCAGTGGGTTTTCAGAGGCAGTAAATCACATGGGAGTTGAATGCCCGTCTTTCTCCGGTGGACCAGCTGGGAGATTTGAGCTGCATGCCTTTGGGTTGACAGCGCAATTCCTTACCCCTAGGTCACCAGAGCTCTCTGGTAATGTTGTGAGTGAGCCTTTAGTGAACTATGTTATAGATTCTTCTAAGCATGGAACCCCCATTTCGTCTTCACACAGCCCTAGAGGGTTCCATGATTATCCCCATTTTACAGTTGAGGAAACGAGGCTCAGAAAGGTTAACAGTCTCAGAGTCACAGAAGTTTCTGACAGCACAAGAATTCAGATCCACTCCCTGATCCTGTGGGCATTCATAGCTGGGAATAACATCATTGGATCATTTTACTTCTTAATGCAAAAACAAACAAACAAAAAAGTCCAGTTGCTGTCCAGTTGATGCTTGATGCATGGTGACCCCATGTTGGAGTAGAACTGTGCGTCCCAGCATTCTCAGTGACAGATCACCAGGCCTTTCTTTTGTGGTGTCTCTGGGTGATCTGCTGACCATGGTGGCCTGTGTGCACCTCTCAGAGACTCTAGAAGTTTACACGGGGCCTGGGCATTGCTGCCCCCAACCTCCTTCCCCCTCCTGCAGCAGGTGCCAAGCTTGCCCACCTCCCCTCAGCTCCATCTCTGAAATCTGGCTTCTGAGACCCCTCTCCCTACTGTGCCTTTGTTGGATTGGGAGTGGGGGTAGGGCAGGTTCAGAGTCCAGACAGAAAGGGGTCGAGCAGTTTCTAAAGGGTCAGCTCACTGCCAACGGTTGGGGCTCGTGGAAGTGGTCCTGTGTCCAGTGCAGGGACACTGGATGCTAGGACAGCGAGCCCCGAGGGGTCCAGACACAATCAGAGTCGCTGCAGGGGAGGGAGCCCCAGCCACCCCACCTCCTCGGGGTCCTCATGTCCAGCTCTCCTCAGCTCCCGTCCTCATGCTCCTGGACCCTCACACGGCCCTGGGAGGATACTTGGTTCTCTACAGGGTACCCTGGTCTCAGGCTCTGCCCCTCCTCCAGGAGCGCGCGCCCACACACACACACACACACACACACACACACACACTCTTGTGTACACACCTGTGCACAGTCCTCACCTGCTCAGCAGAACCCGCACCACATGCCCTCCCAGCTGGTCTGTGCCCCGACACCTGGGAATGGTCAAGGTGGGGCCGTCACTTGGTTCCCACATGGTCCGAGGTGCCACTGTTGTGTTTCGGTTCACAGAGAAGTGTGAGAAGCTCTCGGTCTTGAGTAGAATAATGTCTTCCTGGGAGGGAGCAATTCCACCTCTCCATCCAGATGACCCATCATGGGACGCCCCCAGCCGCTCTGCTGGGGGCTCGGGGCAGAGGCTGGCATCAGCAGGAGGAGAGGATGGGAGCCTGGCTCCAAGGCAGGGGCTCAGCGGCCACACTCCTGACCATCAGTGCAGCACCAACAGGGCCGTGTGCAGTTGGCGGAGGGTTGCTCATGGTTACGACGGTGGGCGGGTTCCAGTGGGGCTTTCAGATGAGGAAGACTAGGAAGAAAGGCCTGGCAATCTCATTATGAAAATCAGCAGTGAAAACTGTGTATCACAACAGCGTGATGCCTGTGTG